AAAAATTTTTTTATTTAAAAATAAAAACTTTTTAGATTTAGGTCGTAAATTCTTTTTATTTAAAAATACAAACTTTATCCTTTTTTTTTAATTTAAAAATATAAACTTTTTAAATTTCTAAATTTGGAAATGTTGTGCATTGCTTTCACTTTTAGTTTTTGTCTTTTATGTTATTCTAAAATTTATAAAATATTAATTAAAATAAATATTAAATATATATTTTTTATTTTCAAAACATTAAAAGATAACAAATCTACTGCAATAACTACAGCACAACATGCAACAAAGGCTAAGGCTCAACAATTTAAGGTACCCTAAGGGGAAGGCCACAAAATTGGTTGAGTTCCACTAACCAACCAAACACTTTAAATTAATAAGAAAACAAGTAGAAGATGATTCTGGAGTTGTTTAAGTAACATTCCCAATTACTTGCTCTTCTTTTTAATTTAATGTAAGCAATCAAACATGAGAAAAGTGGTTGGCACAGATGAACCAACTTGGCCCTCAGTAATTGGCCCACAGAGCAAATTTCCCTCAACTTAACTGGAAGTCTCTTCTTCTTCTTCTTCTTCTTCTTCTTCTTTTTTTTTTTTTTTTTTAAAATTTTATTTCTTATTAACTTGCCCGTGTCCGATAACTACATTGAATCCCGATTAATTCGGAATCAAACAACATCAAACTCCATTAGGGATAAGCTCTCCTAATGTTTATTTTTTTATTTATAAAACTCGAACTTAAAACCTTATTTAAAAGAAATCAAACTTATTTCATTTGAATCAACATGTCGATATTAATTAGAAGTCAGTAGTCCCCTGAAAAGAGGAGGAATGGTTTATGGAATTGATGGGAATCATGGGATCTTAAAGTTTCTCTTTTTTTCTACTGGTGGTTTTCAAGGGTTGCACGTTGCTTCCTTTTGATGGTTTAAGAAACCACTAGGACTTTCATAACAACCATGTAAAAAGTCTTTGGTGCAATAATCGGGGTAAGGAATGCATATCATTTAGCAAAAATATTATATAGTTCAAATTGCAAGTTAAGAGTATAATTTAAGAAAAAAATTGTTTGACAATTTGCACTACTTTAAATTATTTTAAATTGTACAATAATGATGGTTAGATGAGAGATGGAGCTTTTTGGTATTAAGTCTCACATCTTATCTAAATATCTTTATTTTATAGTTTAAAATAATTTGAACTGTAAAATAATAGATTTTGATTTAAATATTAAAATCATTAAATTATTTTTAAAAATAATTTTTAAAAAATTTTATTTATAATAATTTAATAATTTTAATATTCAAACTATATTTTTAATATATAATTTAACTTGTAAAATACGAAATCTTATATCATTTTTAAAAGTTTTGAGAAATCATACTTAAAAAAAAAATATTGTTATACATTTAATAATATGTCATTATAAAATCTTCATCACGATACAAAAAAGTCTTCAACATGATACAAAATCTTTGAAATGTGATAACATTTTATTGGTTAAAAATATTTTTATTATGTGTCTCATTGCACTGAAGAATTTTTTACATAACAAAATGAGAACCATATGAATTTGAAACGGAAAAAGATACCAAGTCAGATAAAACGACCATAACAAAATTCTCGTGTATGAAAATGTCTATAATTTGAATAAAAAGAACCCTGTGGGTTTACTATTCCCCAAGCATTGATGCTTGGGCTCCAGTGGGTTTTCCACTTCCCCAGCTGGCTCAATATAAAGAACTCCGCCGTCTCCGCTCGACTTTTCTACACAACATAAGGAGTCCTGAAAACATACGATAAAAAGCTATATACTTCACAAAAGTAATCACAGGGAGATCATGAAGGAAAATGAGCAACATTTGTTGAAAGGAGAGGAAGGAGAGGAAGGACATGGAAGATACCATCATGGGTTCAATTCAGCTCAGATGCAGTCTCTGGCTAGTGTATGTGAGGCTGTTTTTCCTTCTCTTCCCATGGATTCTACAGATGGAGAGGAAGAGAAATCAAACAAGGTTTTGCAGTTATTCCTTAATGCTTCAGCCTCGCAACCTCCTATCCCTGATGAGGTAAATCTATTTTCTTTGCCTACTCATAACACATATGTATGTAAAGTGCCTCTACATTCCTCTCTCTGCGTTCTTCTGAATTCAATTCTTCAGGTTGATAGGATATAGAAGTAGTTTCTGGAAGTTTTTTCTTGATGGGGAAGAAGTTGTAGTTACAAATCATTTCACCAAATACAAAACTAAATTACTGATTTTAAGAAGTCTAATATAAAATTGGACAATAACCTCCACAAAGGCGGGCCTTACCATCGTGTCAAGGCATTGACAAGTAGTTTCTCAACTTTTTATAACTAAGATCAAGTGGGGTTGACTTGGAATACTAAGAACAGGTTGCAGAGACGGTGGTGAAGAGGGTTTTCAGAGAACTGGTGATCATGGCCAAAATCATACTGCAGATGTTATCATCAAGGTTGGGGACGCTGCTGCTTTGTGGGTCTCTATGTTTAAGTGAGAAATGGCCCTACATCAACAACTTCTCTGGAATGTCATTAGAGAGGAGGGAGAAGTTTCTTCAAAGGTGGAACAAGCATTGGTTTCTAAGTCCCATTAGAGCTGTGTTTGTTATCCTCAGGATCTGTTGCCTCTATGTTTTCTTCTCCAGGGTAATCATGCTTTTCCCTTTTTCAGATTAATTTC